TTACTTTTGTAGGTAAGATTGGTGTGTAGGAAGAAGAAAGGCAAACATTTCCCCTTTGCCTTTTTGTCTTTGGTTGGAAGGAAAGATTTTACTTGAGATGATATTTTATTTTTTTTTTACACTAAACCTCTGAGAAGTCATATTGCATCTTCCAAACAAACTGCTGAACTCAACTGCTTTTACCAAACGCATGCAAAATTTTCCCCTCAGGATCCTTCGAGGCCCTGGAGTGCCTGCCTTGCAAAACCTGGGGCGGTGAGCAGAGCCACTCCAGAGTGATTTCCATAGGATACCTTTAGACAGAGTGCTTACGTGTATTTATAAGTGCATTCATACACATTTAACACATCAGATTCTCTCTTGGTCTGTTACTGTGCACACCAGGCAGAAGGAAAAACAACCAAGGTATCCAAAGAGCTGCTGCCCAGCTGGTGAACTCTGACAAAAACCCCAAACCCTCCAAGAGGCAGAGGCAGAAGCAGTTTTTATCCCTGGCTTTCTCCTGGCCCTGGATACACGTGCTTGTCTCTTTGTGGTCATTTCAGATGCCTCAGGAACAGTACCCGCACCGGAGCACCATGCAGACCTCGGAAGGACCCCAGGTATACAAAGTGGGGATTTATGGCTGGAGGAAGAGGTGCCTCTATTTCTTTGTGCTGCTCCTAATGATTTTAATCCTGGTGAACCTTGCTATGACCATCTGGATTCTGAAGGTTATGAACTTCACAATTGTAAGTAGGGGTTACCCTGGAAGGTCTGGGGAAGATGAGGGTGGGTGCTGGTCTTTCTTCTGAGCATGACTTCAGATACAGCTTCAATAATTGGTGTTTCATTGCCATGGACAGTCCTTTTAGAGAGAGGAACACATTTACACAATGATCTTCTCTTTCTCCTGGATATTGCCAAGTTGAATCAGCTCAGCACTGCAAATCATGTTCCTCTTATCTGCTGCATATGTATATATAATATGTATTTATGTAAACAATACACACCCACTCATCCTAACTTTTCAATTATAAAGTGTTTTAAAATCAGTGAAATTGGTTATTTTGAACTTGGATGTTGAGTGGGTTTGAGCTTTTCTCTTAGACTTTTTCTGCTTTTCTCTGTGACCAGGAAGACAAGAATCTTTATTTTTTTTTTTTTTTTCCTTTGGTAAATTTCATGGTGGTGTTGTTCTGGAAGCTTCATGAAATAAAATAAAATTTACAAGGTATCTCCCTGGCTGTGGTACTTAGGTGGAGCATGTCCTTATCCTTGTATTGCTGTGCTTGGTGCACATCAGTCCTGGAGCAGCTCCCCCTCACTGCACAGATTCCCTGGCCAGGGTTAGCTTTCCACTTCCAGAGCTTGTGAGTCTTTATATATGGCAGATCCTTGTTCTTCACTAGATAATTTGACTAAGCAGAGTGAAAATGAAGTTTGGAGCCACCTCTTCTTCAAAGTAGTCATTGCCATCTTTTTCAGATGAGATTATTCATTTTAAGATTGTTTGAGTCTTCAGGAAAAGTCAAGTCTGATGCTTTAATCCTGGTTTTACTTCCTTAGGGATTTGTAAAGCTACGCTTCCCTAGACAACTTTCAAGGACCTTCCCAGCCAGGCTATGATGTGAGCAGCATGTTTGAAGTCTTTTTGGCATTTCCTTCTCTGCTTTGGTCTCGTGCAGTCCCAAACAGCTGTGGCCAGCATTATGGCATTAATTGGCCATGAGAAGTTGAATAAACAACCTCTGGCTTGCTGTACCCAGCAGATAAAATGCTGTTTCAGGGGAATGTGCAGCGTTCATTTTCTCTAACCAGGTTGCTGTCAAGGTGTGCAGAAGATTGCAGTTGCCTATGTGCTTAGGGAGTGAGCAATTATAAAGCAGTAATCCACAAAAAGCTCCTGTGAGCAGGCAAAGAGTGGCCAAAGTGGAGCAATTAATGCTTAACCAGACCAGTTGTTTAATCTTATGAAATGGATGCTGTTTTTATACCCATTTCATGCTGAACTATGTTCTTTAGATTAATGGAGTTGAGAAATAGGTGTTTCTGAAATGGTGGAGGAGTTGATCATTCAACATACAGGCAGTGCTGTGGGTATCAGCCCAAGAACAAAATAAAAGGATTTCAAATTATCACTTTCCAGGAATACAGTTTATTTCTTTCTAATTACATAACTTCAGTCCCATGCATTTTGCTAATTGGTGGTGGTCAGTCAGTTCTCTACAGATTGCTTGGGGAGTCAGGTGAACATCTCTGCTCCTTCTCCATCACTGCCCTCTCACGATACACTGCACTTTGCAGGCCAGGTGCTGAGGTGCCCTCTCCTAGGGATGTGTGCAGAAACCTCCCATTTCCAGCAGCTCTGTCCCCCCACTAGGATACAGACTGGCTTTTGGAGGCATGCACTGATCTTCAATTCCTTCTCTGATTCTGTTTCCTTACTTGCCCTCGGATTACTGGGGATTATTCCAGGATAAAGTATATTTGTGTATGGCTTAGTTAATTCATATCTACTAATGCTAGTGGATGATGAACAGCATTTGGTGATAAAAACACAGGTGGTGCTGCTGAGTCCTGCAGTGGGAGCAGCTTTATGGTTGTAGGCATGACCACACTAGTTAGGGTGAGTGTTTCTGGCACAGCCAGTTGGAAATAAATACAAGAACTGGGCATGTAAATGTGAGTCTTGCCCCAGTATGCCCCCATTCATCTCCTGATCTCCTGCTGCTCCTGCAGCCTCGCCAGCTGCTTTGGATCCTGCTCTGCAATCCCTCCTGCACCATTCCCTGAGGCTGAGAAATCCACTTGGCTAAGTGAGTTCTTAGAGGCAGACTTTCCTCTCTAAATAACAAACATAGGAAAATCATCAAATGAGCAGATGCAAAAATGGAAAAATCTTTAATTTGTTCCTGTTCTGATAAGAGGAGCTGAGAGACCTTCTGGGACAGAGGAGTGATCTGAGCAGTCAGTAAGCAATAGCTGCTGCTTCACAGGTCCGAGTTAGCCCAGTGCTTGCAGAACAGAAAGGAGAGGAAGGTCTGTGTTTCTGTTCTTGTGGAAAATGTAGTATTTCTAGCATCTTCCCAGCCCTGAGCTCTCCTTCCAGAACCTGAGTCTGTTCAACTCCACAGAACAGTCCTGGCGCTTACCAGAATTTAATGATGCTCATTATAGCCAATAAGTGCTCACAGTATTTTAATGAGCACAGCAAACCTGCTCAGGAAAAACTCAGGGGTGTTTTAAATGCTGATAGTGGGGAGTGGAGAGTGGAGAAGGGGGAAGGAGATGAAGCAAGACAATCTCAGGATAAAAAAACACCTCATGCTTGCTGTAGCAGTATCCATCCTCTCCAATTCCTTGCCCAGCCCTGATCTCCCTTTCTCTGTTCTCTGCCTGCCCTCCTGCTTGTGCTCCTGTATACAACTCGTATGAAATCAAGCCATAAACTTTCAATCAGTGGCTTTTAACAAGCAAGCATCACTAATTTATTCTAGGTTTTGGTTTTATTTTAACATCTGTGTGGCTATTGCCTCTTGCACAGGGCTGTCAAAGCAGTGTCACACCTGTGTGGGGACAGCTGGTCCCTGTCTGCCCTGTCCTCTGGCACATTCATTTCTCATGTATTGATACTTGATTTGCTTTAAATGCCTTCATCCAGCACAAGCTGTATAAAATACAGGCCTAGAGGGGACCTCAAATGTCACCTGCCTGGCCCACAGCTGGTTCCCATAGCCAGGTCCATTTGCTGTGTTCATTTACATCAGGGCTGAGCTGCTCTGGGGCTGCAGGAAGCTCTGGGCAGGCTGTTGCCTTTAAACCTTGCTTGGATTTTTAAGGCAAACCACAGAATGAATCTGGAGCAAAGCCACCAATTTGGTTGAAACCCAAATGTACCCTGAAGGTGGCCTAACCTAATTGAGGTAGAAACCACCACTCAGCACATCCAGCACTCAACTTGCTGCTAGTACTTAGAGAGTGCCCTGCTTCATTCAGATCTTGGACAAGGCTGGTATTAAGTCTGTGGTTTGCACATACTGGGCTTGGGGAAGGGATGTGAATGCCTGTGGGTTGTGTATGTGACTGAGCCACTCTGTCCGCAGGTCCCACTGCAGTCACAGCAGTGTGGCAGAGGGCTCACCTGCAGCTGTGGTGGGCTCAGCCTCCAGCTGTGGTGATCATCATCTCCAGCTGTGGCAGTCTAAACCTCCAGCTGTGCTGCTCTAAACCTCCAGCTGGGGCAGGCTCAACCTTGAGCTGCACAGAGCTTGGCTGAGGTGGGCACAGCCCCTGCATGGGTTTGTAGGTCCCAACTTAATTATAAAGCTGGAATGAGAGCTCTGAACAGCCTTCCTCTTTCTGGTCCACCTGCATTAGCAGCCAGTGATGCAGCTCTTCAGCAGCAGCATTGCCTGTGACTCTGCATATTGGCACATGGATATTTTGTGCTGCACACCAATTATGTGCTGGGGATCTCTTATTTCACTTCTTACTAGTGAGCTTAAAGCATTTTTTAAAAAGCTTCCTGTTGTATTAGTTTCCGAATATTACAAGAAAAGATGTGCTTCCATAAACACAGTAAATATCCTTATTTTAAGCAGTCCAAAGCTAGAAAGCTGTGATAATGGGCAATGACAGTGCACTGACCTCTTTCCACAATGGTAGCACACAATGCCTGGTATTTTAAATGCTGTTAGGAGTCTGAAGAACTCTCCGTTAGTGCCCCTTTATAGCCTGTTAGGCAGCAGGCTGAGATTCAGACAGGAGAGGTGAGGACTGTGTCCTGTTGTGGCTGCATTGAAATACCAAACACCCACCTACTTGTCTGCCCATCAAACCACACAGGACCCTTTGCTTTTCCTTTGCTCTTCCCCGTGTTTCTATCCACACCTCCTGTTGCTTGTTCTGAATTGTATTTTTTTGGGGAAGGAGCTGTTTGCATATGTAGTCTTACATACTGGCAGGCTCTACTAGACTTTAAGCTGTAATAAACAGAAAATAATATTTTCCCCCACTCAGTCTCCAAGGCATGAAATTCTTGGAGAGCTGTCTTCTAAGAATCGTCCAAAGGAAAGGCTTCAGATTAGTTTTGTAAATAAAATATT